ACGAGTGGGATGCCTCTTTGACGAAGGAGAAAGCAGAGGAGTGGACCAAAATAAGCAGTGATTTGAAGAGATTTCACAAGTCAATCCCTAGGTTTCTGGCTCCAAAGAGGTCCGCAGTCAAAATAGCGGTTTTTGGGGATGCTAGCACTACAGGAATGAGCGCATGTGCCTATCTCGTACACTCAGGAGAAGTCAACCTCCTAATGGCAAAATCTAAGTTGCCTCCGCTCCACGGAGCTTCCACTATACCAAAACTCGAGATGAACGCCATGACCCTGGCTGCTCGCCTAGCGAATGCAATTGCAACCCAGCTGAAGACAACTCTGAATATTGAAGAGATTAACATTTTCTCGGATCCCGAAGTTGCACTATGCTGGGTCAGAAGCCCCCCGAATCGAGAAGTGGGAGTTTTCGTTTATAATCCGTTATCGGAAATAAAAAGAATCGTGACCCACTTAACACAAGAAGTTTGTCCCGTGCAATTCGGACACGTGCCTTCCGAACAAAATCCTGCGGATCGGGGGACACGAGGTGTGTCGAGCACCGAGTTTAGCCAACATTACTGGTGGAAAGGGCCAACCTGGCTCCAAGAAGAGACGACCTCTTGGCCTACACGCCACACAATCTTCGGATGAGACACCTACGACGAAGGAGAAGACCCAGGTGATACCACCAATGTAGTGGCTGCATCAGGTGCAATGGCATATGAACCTGAACTTCTGCAATCAAGCCATGTGCGGACATTCACTCGAGCAAAACGCTTTATAGCGTACGCTCTTCGGTTTGTGCGAAAAATTGTGGCAAAACTCAATGAAAGGAAAATAACCATGATTCAGATCACACTACCGGAAATTCCCCCTGGGGTAGACCCATTGTCGCTATGTGGAACTGAGGTGGAATTTGCGGGCAAAGTGATTATAAGAGCACACCAAAAGTTGCATGTCACCAGCACTATCGTGAGAACCCTTGGAGATCTGAATATACGAAGGGACAACGAAGGCATATTACGCTGCTACGGACGCTTGGGCCGAGCACAGCTCGACTACGAAGCGAAATATCCCGTCTTTGTACTGCAGAAAACGGTTCTGGCTGAGATCATCGTTCGTGATGTTCATCAAAAGGGACACACTGGCATTAACCATACAGTGAGTCCTGTCAGGCAACAATACTGGATCCCGCAACTTCGCTCACAAGTTCAGAAGTTGATTCGTAAGTGTGTGAAGTGTCAGAAATTCAACAACCTTCCCTATAATTACCCCTCTCAAGGAGATTTACCGAAGGAGCGAGTAGTGCGATCAAGACCTTTCCAACATGTCGGTCTAGACTATTTCGGTCCCCTGTCAATGAAACGGGAGGATGGAAGCCAAGGCAAATGTTATGGAGCCATAATTACATGCATGGTCACCAGGCTTATTCACCTTGACGTGGTGTCAAACTTGTCGACTATCGCGTTTCTGCACATGCTACGGCGATTTTTTTCGCGCAGAGGGGTTCCTCAGACAATTGTCAGCGACAACGCTCCTAACTTTCTGTTAGAGGAACAAATACTAAAGGAAAGTCTCCAAGCGGCGCAGGACGATCCATCGATCAGTAGAGAGATTAGCAATAAGGGAATAGACTGGAAACATATCACCCCTTACGCTCCTTGGCAAGGAGGATTCTATGAAAGGATGATTAAGTCCATCAAGTATTCGTTCTATAAAACCGTTGGTAGGTCAATACTATCGTTCGAGGAACTATCTACGGTGGTAACGGAAATCGAATCGATCCTCAATACGCGCCCGCTCACGTATGAAACCACGGACTTGGACAGGAATCAAATTATACGCCCAATTGGCTTCCTACAGAAGGATCTCTGCCTAACCTATCCCATGGTACCAACGGTAAGGGAGCAAGAAAATGATGATTATATACCACCTGAACAAAAGTGGGCAATACAGACAAAAAGTCAAGCGACGGCTGCAGTGGAAGCATCGTGCAAAATAACGAAAAGTTTTGGAACGTTTGGCAGCAACAATGCTTGACCAGCCTCCGGGAGAAACATATGCTCAATATAGGAGGCAAGAAAGGTTGCGCGCAACAGCCGCAGGAAGGCGCCCCGGTACTCATCTGCGAGGCAACAGTACCACGCCACTCATGGAAAGTGGGAATCATACAAGCATTGACGAGTAACGCGCAGGGAACAATCCGGGAAGCAGTCGTACGGCTGCCTTATCAGCGACTGATCCGACGGCCTATTAATCTTCTTGTACCTTTGGAACTTGAAGATGACACCAATCAGGAACACCACACGAAGAAGAAGAACAGGGACGGTGATTCGAAAGAAAAACGGGATTGCCGTGCAACATCCAAGACTGAGGAAGAAGAAGAGCAAAGCGAGGAAGAGCGAATACCCGGATCGCGGTATAATTTGCGCCAACGAAAGAACATTAACTACAACGACGATCACTCTTCCAACGTAGGGAATCTCTTCTCTCTCTCCATGTTCTCATTGAGTATGATTATACTTCTGCTTTTCTGTGTATTCAACGCAGGAGCCCAAGAAAATATTTCCATTTCCAAACGGGTCGTTAAATGTTTCCAAGGAGGAGTCAGGCTCGAATCAGAGGAGGAGACCCCGTACGAAATATGAGGCAATCAGTTCTGTACGATGTTCAACAACCCGAAGACTGTTGAGAACGTTACCTTCCCACCGGAAGTAGTTTTGTATGAATACGCAGTTCAATGGAAATTCCTGCAAAATCACGGTACTGCAACGGTTGAGACTCGATGCCTAGGGGCACCGTTTTGCGAGACGATAAAATGCACTTTCTGTAGTGTCAACTTCTTCAACCCAGAATGTTGGCCCGTCAGTGCGATACTCGGAATAATACCGGAATAATAATATGATACCCTGCTCTATTTCCTAATAACTGGATGTTACGTATTCCTCTACGTGCCTCTGATGGTCGGAAAACCATCAGAATACTGGGAAAAGTTGCATGGTACCTGCAACGTTGTGGCTTTCGCACTACCAGGAGAGGTAATACCCGGCGATTTCGCAGAAGAAGTCTCGCTGGGATCATAGTTGTAATGATGATAGTATGCGAAGGTCTACAGGCATGTCAGATGGTAGACGTGTTCAACCACTATTCCACCATTTGCGTTAGGTCAACTAAGGAGGTCTGCCATATACAACTCTCCGAGCTTTTCAAAATCAATACTTTCAAACAAGAAGCCTGCCTTCGTCTTTCTCACAATAGCACACCAATACAGGAGATACGCTTACGATGGAAAGGGCTAGCCCTCCACTGTGAGAAAGAAACCGATTTTTTCACAAGAGATACCGTGAACCGAGTTGTGTCAGCAAACGCTGTCCCCACATGGGGGCATGTGTGGAGGGAAAATGTGGCGCGGTGAACGCATCCAGCCTTATCCCCGAGCCCGAAGAGGGGATCGATTTCCTGGCCACACAGCTTGTGTAGAATCGTGCGGTGGCCCGGGGTGTGACTGTTTCTTCCTATACTCTGGATGTCTATTTTACCGCATATATCTGGAACCAGTAGACGACGTAATCTATGAAGTCTTTCATTGCAACAGGTGGATTGAAAAGCCAGAAGTGGAGGTAACACATGTAGATAGAACAAGGAAAAATTCATCAACCNGTGACTGTTTCTTCCTATACTCTGGATGTCTATTTTACCGCATATATCTGGAACCAGTAGACGACGTAATCTATGAAGTCTTTCATTGCAACAGGTGGATTGAAAAGCCAGAAGTGGAGGTAACACATGTAGATAGAACAAGGAAAAATTCATCAACCACCACACTATGGCTCCAACCCAATGTACCCCAGCAATGGGACACTCTCACGTTCACGCTGTCGTCGGTAGTTCTCCCACCGCTACCAATTCTTAGTACTCAATTCATTACCGATTCGGCACGTACCGCTACATGGAAAAGTGGTGCAAGAGCAGCACTTCAATGCATTGATTACACCAATGCCCAGAATCTTACGTGTCCTGTCTTCGAGGACTGCGTATGCATGCCAGCAGAGACCAGAGCGTATTGCAGGTGTAGAGACTTCCCTATTGGGTTATGGTTCAATACTTTGGAAAACCAGTTACCAAAGACCTATCAATGTTGGCATTGCGAGAGGAGGAAAACAATGTTTCGGCAAGATTGTTCGGTATGATCATGTCGGAAATTATTGTGAGTCTTCAAGATGCTTGGGTACCCGAAATTCTGGTAGATGACGACCTTTGTAAGGTGAGAGCGGGAACAGTAACCGGATGTTATAATTGTGCAGAAGGAGCTGTAGTACCGGTAACATGTACCTCAACCAATAACAACACTCAAGCCGAAATCCTGTGCGACCACTTGCCATTTACGATACCCTGCAATACAGGAGAGAGTGTTTCCATTCTGAGATTAAGCTCATCTAACGCTCGCATTCACTTCAACTGCTCAGTGACATGTGGTAGAACATCATCGACATTCGAGTTGGGAGGAGTACTGAAATTCACCGGCTCACTAACAGGGTTTGTAGAGCAATGGCTGAGAGGGAACCCTTCAGATTCAGGCGGGATCACAATACCGGATCTTTCTCATATAGCTTCGGTATTCCTACAGTGGTATAAAACCCTACTGATAGCCATGGCAGGGCTACTAGTCCTACTGGCACTGACATACCTAACTCTGTCCAACTGGGGAGCAAAAATCGCTATATGGATGTTGTTGCTACCTCCAAGATTGATCGCGGCTCTGACGAAAGCGGGGATGCGCTGCTTGTTCTCTGTTAAACGCAACAAGCGGCACAAGAAACAATACTAGTCCGCAAATTGGATATCTATTTGGAGTAGTTAGGATTGGATAGTATTTGTTCTGCTAGTACACCATCTTTGTTCAATCCTAGACCCGAGGTATTTTATTACAGGTCCCCACACAATGGCAGAGGAAACAAGTTTCTCGAGAGACATGCAATTCCTCTCGTCTCGGACATTCATAAAAAACGATTTCAGAACAGAAGTTGGAACAAGATATGGCGGCAACATTGGAGGAGATTCATACGCAAGTCAAGATTCCGAAGATACTCGAGGAATCTCACGGGCACCATCTTCTCCAACACACGTGCACAGACGACACAGGCGGAGAACTCGCTGTGATGGCGCATCGGCTGCTATCCACCGCCATAGTGACGAAAGGCAAACTGCAAAGCCTAACGCAAAGATTCATCCTCTTTGATTCTATCTATCTCATTCTTACTGACGATAGGCAACTCAGAAAACGCGAACGCTTAACGTGGGAAACAGGGCAGAAAACTAAACACGATACCAACACTACGGCAGTCACATCGATAGTCGAAAAACGCCTTTCAATACTGGACACCGTCATCAAGGATCTCGAATGCGACATGGAGCGAGCAAGGAAACTAATCAGCAAGGAGAAGATAGTGTTGAAAGGCATCAGTTTCAACAAATTCAACGATAACGACTCCGTCAATGCCACGCTACAGCGAATAGAAAAACACCTAGAGAAAATTGCTCTGAACTCCAACAATACGGCGGATGTTGTCCCGCAAATGAAGAGGAAGTCAGATGAAGAGCTAAAAGAAAGCAATCCGAAAGAATCCTTTTCGATGACGACTATATGGACGGACTGATCCGAGAGAATGACTGGAACGATCACCAATTCGCAACCGGTGAACGCGATGAAAATTCTCGATGCCAGCAAGATATCGCTATGCAAAAATGCGCAAGAAAGGACGATCGAAACAAGGATAAATCCAAGACGAGCAACGCGGAACAGTCACCTCAAGGCAAGCAAGAGAGGCCTACGCTGAATTACACAAGACCGTACGACCGTAGCAGGCCTGCACTAGATTACACAAGACAGTACGATCGGAGCAATCAAACCACGGTCAGCCGAAGAGAGCAGTCATCTTCACGTGAGATAAAACGCTTGGAGAGAGACCTTTTCTCGCTCAGAGAAGGACTCAGACGACTGCCTCAAAGAAGAATTGGGGAGCGATCTCGAGAGGCTGGCATATGCGCATTCTGCAAAGTACGGAACGACCACTTTTCTGATTCCTGCCCGGAATGCATCGAAGGGGACCAACGGTTCAAGATTATAATGAGGGAAGGTATCTGTCAATACTGCCTCAGGAAATGCAACAAAAGGGCGGATGAATGTCGACAAGCAAATGAACAATGCTGGTATTGTTCGATCGTGGGAAATAGCGTGCTAGACTTCATTATCCCGGACGACGACGCACTGTGCTCCGCACCAGACTCTAAAGACCGAATTCGACACGCCATTTGGAATGTGCGCACTCAGGTGGAGATACATGAGCGCCTCGGCAGTAATCAGTAGTGCGCCCGGGAGTGTAGCGAATGCTTCTTTGTATATAGAGAGGTTTACTTATGGAGTTTTATCATATTATAGTTACATCTGATTAATGCTGCTTTCTGAGTCCAAGCTAGTGACTAATTCTAGGTTTTACAGGACATGGCACATTCCATAGCCACCTGCTTTAGGCTTCTTGCTGTGCCAGTCAGTCGCCCAGCTGCAGAAGTCGTATAAATGGGGACCAAATCTGGAGTCGAGGCTTCGGCTCTTCGCTTTTCGGCTCTACCGCTATCGGACTGCTACTGTTTGAGTGTTAGCATCGAGAAAGGACTCCTCCCTTATGCGACCACTAAGGACGACAGATCCCAGCAATATTGAACGCGCTGCAGATCCAGTTCGTTACCGTTATTCGCTATAGTTATAACAATAAATTATTAGTATTACTCTGATTCAATCTGTTAGAGGAAGACCCGCGTGGCACAATATCGGTATCGGCCTAGTATATCTGTTATATAGGTCTGCGATATAGTTGGTATACCTACTATACAAATCTAGTGCAACGTACACTACAGGACGATCGCTTCGACGAACTTAATCGAAGCAATTCTGTTCACAGAGGAAGCGATCGTGCCATTCATGGTAGGTGACAAAAGAGGGTCACTGATGTCATCGCATTTTGAGCCTGAGTGTCGAAGCGGTCAACTTCGTAATGGAGAAGCGGAAGGTTCCGGTAGTTGTATCGATGGAACATCGTTCGGTCGACGATTACTTACTTTGAACGACCACGACCAATACCGATCAGTTATAGTGTTGATCTATCAACAATGCCCTTTTCCCTCCTCTCAAATCCACACTCCTTCTTTAGCGCTTTGGCGAGCAACAGTTTTCAAAGTTGAACGGCAAAATTTTCTAAAATCTTTCCATCCTATTAAATCCTACGCTGATAGCATGGTCACAGCTAACTGTGAATCCCAAGAATTTTCCTTTTCCTGTGGAACAATAGGAGAAAGCATCTGGATACTGCTAAATTTAAAAAAATTGCTAGTCAATGAAAGATGTTCCGTCCATGTGGCGCTTCTTCGCATTGCAATGCAATTTTACGAAAAATATTTCAAATGGCAATACCTTATTTGAACACGACATGCACACTTTGTCGCTAAGTCACCAGTGGTTCTCTGATATTGCCCTATCGGATATATAGAACCACCTATAAGAATCATCAGACACCCTTGGAAATTCTCGCTAGAAGCCATAGATTCCGCAATAACTTTGGCAACGCTGACGTATTTGTTCGGCCCTGTTGCGATATTTTACATATTGGAAACAGTGCTGCATATATTGCGCGCTAAAGTTGGAATTTTCAGAGGAATTTTGTGCAGAGAATGTACACACTCAGGAAACCCACCCGCTTGGAAAAAAAATTATACTCATGTAAAAGACCTCTAAAATTATGTCAAATTCACGTCGGTGTAATCGCACTCCTCTCTACTTCTTCGCCGTCGACGTTGTCCGGTCTCGAGCCGCCCCTTCAACGCCAAGCTGTCTACACGCACCAACAAGCTGCACCATTCACTTCCTGCCTACATTTGTCAACGAGCCGCATGTCCACGAAAAGTCGTTTTTCCGATCGCAAGCTGCCAAGGAATCGATCAGATTTGGAAGATTTGATGTGCATGACCCGTTTTTTGTTACCCCGCGGGAGTGTCATCGATGACGACTCCAATCACCATATGTCCCACTCCTCTTTGGAGTGTCTTCTCGAGAGGGCGGAGCGCGGGAAAGTAGAGGGTGGGTTTGGGCTTGTGCTAGTATTGTCTCATCACTTGCATTTTTGCTGAGCGTTGAGTACGTCCACTCCGCACACGCTCCTCGATATTTCTCATCCAATAACCACTGACGATTGAAGTATACCGTCCCAACACTATACGCTACTGAAGTGTCACCCACGTTTGCCGCATAATCAGAGTGCGACAGACTCGGTAAACTCCTTCGGAGCTCGCTCCCAATCGGTAGCATCGCATGAGCACACGGTACCTCTTGAATCTAGCCACCACATGGTAGCTCATAAGGTTTGTGCCCATGGTGATTTCCTCACGGTAGGAACAGTTGTGAAAACCATGAACATTTCGAAATAGGCTGGCCATCAGCCCCCTTCTAATGCTGCTCAGATTTCTCCGTTACAATCTCCAACTGTACCGCCTCTCCGGAGTCAATTTTCGCATATCATGGTTCAGACTCTATTGAGAGATCTATAGGACCCACGGACAACTGCAACTACCGCGACCAATACAATATGCAATCTGGAGCGGCAGTAATCTGGACCCCTACAAGCAGGAGAGTTGTAAGTATACTGATGTTTCTCCAATTAAAGGCGCACTGGCAGAAGAAGCCTGGCTCACCGACTCAAGGGAGTTCGTGCTTCCCTCCTCTCTTTCCGTTACTCCTATTTTTGATTGTGGTCATTCTCTCATTATCACAGATCAAGGTTATGCTACTGAGTCTCTTCCATATCATCGTTCCGAACGTCGCATAAGTTTACCTAGCCGATAGCAGGTTGGCTTAGAAACAACGAACCAGCCAACAACGGCTAGCTGTCGAAGAAGGTATGCAACAAACTGTGAGCAACTCATTTCATCACGATATCCTAGCTCTCTGTAAATCGACCAATTCTCCTGGTGCTTCTCTTGTAGCTACAATCCTCACTAACCCCACAAAAGCCATGGGAAACATCTTAGAACGATCTGATATTGAAACCTAATTTCGAGGAAACAATAATGTCCGCACCAAGTCATGGACCAGACTTTCGCCTTTCATCTTCTCACCATCGACATCCTATAAATCATCACTACCTCCCATCTCTGTATTCCTTCCGAATAAGACTTACCGGAAGGCTTTTTTCGATGCTGTTACTAACATTATTTCTCATACCGCCAGTGCCGTGCCATGTGCCACAGATCTGCTATTTGGATTTTATCGAAGACCCGGTTTTCCATACCTGCCATTGTCTGACTCGCTTCGATCATTCCTCGTTCCACTGTAACCGTAATCGAACACTCACTTCACCGCCCTCGAAATACTCTACGTCCCACCCTTACTCTATTCTAATTAGGTCATCACCAATATAAGCGACTTCATCCCTGAACAAGAATTCACTGAGCTATGGGCAGCTATTGAAGGTAATCACATATCCTCAGAAGCTCACACCAGCAAGGCAGCTCATCACGACCTAACATCTTCTCGGCTCCATCCCTCCCCATTAGCTTGGTCAGCTTTCTTTTGATAACAGTTTATAAACAATGGCTCACGTTTTGCCGCATAGTAGTCTCACTCCAGCTTCTGTCTCGCGTCTTCACAACATACAATTCCGCCAAATTCCCTCGCATTTGTTCTAGTACGTAGCCCGCTTCAACAATAAAAGGTGGCAGAGCCACAGCCAACCAATGCCAGCGTCTAAACGCTACCGTACTCCGGCGGAGTCCCCAGTGCCCCTGGAACCCACACCTTCTCCTACGGTTTACACATTATCGCTAGCGACTTAATCCATCTCCACGCACATACGGATCACGGTCAACGGGGTCAATGTATAAGCTTTAATTGACACAAGATCTGATATCACCCGCGAAATCTTCGCACAGTTTTGAGTATCTTTACGCTAGACCCTCCTCAATCTGTCACGGCGATTGGCAAAGAAGACATCCCTGTTCTTGTGGCTGGGTCAAAGAAAATCCGAGGAGGAAGAGCGTCACAATTTATAGGATTGCGAATTGGGTAGTGGAATATTTTGAAGTATCCCCTGAATGGGGCGCACCAGGAGTCACCTTGGTGGAAAATTTCATGAGCGGAGATTCAATAATTAGCAGCCACCCGATTAGCAGAAAGGAAGGCGCAAGGTTGGCAACACGGTGACCAAGTGACAATCGTCAGGCGAACGCTGGAATACTGCATTGACGAAATTTCAAAAAATTTATCATTCCAAATCCTTACATTGAAACAGTGACGAAAAAGGGTTATGTATTGAGTGAGCTGGTGCATTTAATAGTCCAGCTATGCTCTGCAGCGCATAGAGAACTGCGCAAGCATCACTGAGGATTTTTTCACACATACTACGGCGCATAATTCAAAAATAAATGCGATAAGAACAAAAAGAAGTTGGACAGTGGAACGTTCCACACCATTCGCTGTACAGAGCGTTCCGCAAAGGAGCCGTATGGCACCATATTGTGTGTTCTGAATTACGAAGGATATGATTGACAGAAGACAATTAGGTGCACTTTCAGTTTGATCGCTTATCAACATCTAGTGAAGCGTCATTTTGATCCTGGTCACCATTTCAAGGAATAAACGAATGGTTCCTTTTAGCAAGGTCCGATGAAACGTGATCTACGTGTAGCTAAATTGACCATACCACTAGGAGTCCTATTGGCAACGAATTTCACAAAAGTGAAAATGCATAACCGGAAAGCTGTTCAAGACCTTAGCGAGTTTCTTGAGACCGGAAGCGGGTATAATGCTCTGAATTATTCTGCACAACGCCATCAATAATATCACAACATCAGTATAACATTACTATGGTTACTAAATACATTGTAGAACCAAAAGATTTTTGCACCCGCTAAAAAATAATGAAGCAAAATGACCAAGATGTTGTGCATTTCTAAAAGTCATCGCCAATCTCAACGCAATTATTGGAATGATCAAACAAATAAAAAACACTCTTGCCAATCCAGCAAATCGCATCGAAGTATTTTCGAGTCAATGCTGCCGAGTTTCCAAAATGACATAGTGTTTAATCATGAGCACACCTTGAGCTAATGCTGTTCCCACCAGAGCGCCAGTAGACGTGCCGGCGACCCAATCAAAATAAGGGAAAATTGGTTCGTTCAACTCCTCCTCAATCGCTAAGAGTGTCTGAAAACTATTACATTAAATACAAGATGAATATATTCAATCGGAACTACGTCTTTTCTCAAATTTGGCTATTCCGACACATATAAAATGGGCACATTTCATACTATTGTTGCTTCTATTCTATGCTTCATATGACCAACACCTAGCGCCGACAACAGCCAGAGTAGTGAAGTGGACGACTTCTGAAGCAAACTCGTGTCTCTAGGCGCGAGAAAAAGTAGGTGGTTACTCAACAAAGTGGTGACGGTGCGCCTTACCGGCAGGCCACACCCTATCGTGCTCGTGGAAGCGCGTGGCCCGCTTGCGGGTCACGATAATATTTCCTTGCCTTACAGTCCTTTGTTCACAAGTCTTTGTCAATTTTTACGCCGGCACCAACGAAACCACGGACGTCTTACCCTTGCCAATAAGTCCTTCTATAAACATCATTTTGCTGTTCTTAGAGCACCTTTTTGTGAGGAATTGCACGCTCGATGTTTCTAGCTAGAACATGATCGTTTTCATTAGCAAGCAATGGTTGGTCGTGAAATTTTTTCAGCTCGAGAAAACAACGCAGGGACGCGTATCTCAACTCAAGCGAGTCAACAACCCTCTCCATTTTTTTCAACCTACAGTACCTGTTGAGCTAAGAAATGAAGTGGGATTTCTGCATACGATAGGAATAGCAATGGAGCTCCTGCATGATATTCTTCCATCGCGATAACTCCGATAAACCGTGCCCGTTGACTTGCTTTTTGTGGGTCACCCAGGATCACGACCGACAGGCAGACGGACTATTTTATCAGTACTATCTTTAGAAGTATTGGCCTTTGTACCTATTCCTGGTTTGTCTCCGATACAATCTTCTTTTCTGTATCGTTTAATAGCCTCCTTAACGATTATTATAAAAATCCATGGAATTTCATAATGCCTTTCCACCTCTCGCTTCTCAATGATTGCAAGTGGCATTGAATGAGCCTCCTCCATCTGAAAGATATTGAGAGCTCCTTTCACTAACCAGGTATCTTGCAAGTAAACCTTCTTGTGCAACTAATCAATAACTAATCAATAGCGTGTGAAGGGAATATGAAAAATTACTTCAACCTTAGAAGTTTCTAAATACTGGCGCCCATGATTTCGGGACCCCTGTATTTGGCCTCTAACATAACAACATTACATATTATAATGTAGCACTATCATATTGTATATGAGTTGACACTTAACTTATTGCATTCTTGCATTGAGTTTATTCCGATGAGAGCGTGTGCAGTAAAATAGGATGCTCGTGAGAGCCTTCAGCCCGCCGATGGCCCACAGCACGACCAGCGGAATACGGGCTGGATCCCAGACACGTTCGAAGTGAGCCGTCGAAAATTTGTTAATGTTACACCACAGTCTCCCTGCTGCACTGAGAAACTGAAGGCTGCGGATTCCCACCTTCATATCTCCCTTTTTGAATCTTTCTGATCATTCCGTGCCTGTTACTTCAGTGAAACCCTCTAGCGCTAACGCGTGCGTAACAACAAATGGATGATTTTGATTAATAGTCACTAACATTGATTTTAGGAAATTCGAACCTGCACCATTAAGAATAAGCGGCTTCAACTTACATCACTTGAAATCATAAAGCCAACATCAGTTCTTTTCACTCAGATAGGATCAAGTTCTTTTATTGTAAAAATCACCCGGTTTAGCAAAAATCTCGTTCACATGAAACTTTCCCTGGCTCAAAGTTTCTATGAAGCTATAACAACTTCTTCTGCATTTGTTACGACGCCCACTACTTCTACACTGCCAAAAACAGTTGGCTTTTTTCCATTGCCAGTTGTCCCTTTTTTCCGGACCGACAATTTCCTTGAACAAATGTGAATTTCTTCTTCTTGCAGCTCCGCCTATTTTGTTGAACACCCCGCCCACCTTGGACATTGACTTACTTCCCTTTAACTGCTAGACTCTCTCCCGTTTATCTTCATTGATGTTTCTGAGCATTTTTTAAATTCCAGCTTCAACCTTATTAGTGCACACCCCGTCTAGCACGGATATCCAAACACAATTCCTCTACAAGCATATATCTATCGGTTTTCCAAGTTTCATAGCCTTTTCGACCACAGTTGCGAACTCCTGCTTTTAGCCCTACCTTCTGCACACGCCCGCCTAGATACAATGGAACAAGTAAAACGGTCCGACCTTGCGCGCAGTTCACCGTGATTTATAAGGCAAGTGATCACTAATTATATTGAGGCAGTCATTCTTGTTACTCATGCATGCCTACCCAGAAGCCTCGAAATTTTCTGGACTCGATATCGTTGTCGCAGGCTGGTGTCGAGCATGCAACGTTGAAATCACAACAAGCGATCGCTAATTCTGAATATATAATACTGAGCGGTGAGACCGATGTTTTCCATTGTTTATATTAGCGAGATTTCCTTTTACCAGAACACACTCCGCGCTGTGTGAGACTAGTTACAGCCACCAAGTGCGCGACAGTTGAAGACATTTGCTGGATCAGTAGAAGTCATGGTCACTGAATAAGCACAGATTTTTCCGACTGTGGATTCCCTGGAGTTCGAAACATCTTTCTAATCAATTCGAAGGAAGATGTGCGGTCTGCAAAGGTTTCCGAAACCAATTAGGAGGAAAAAAGGCGTAACTTTATACAACTCTTGGTAAACTCCGGGTCTATGACACAGGACAGTGGTGAAGGGATATCTTTTCTTTATCATTTTTCACATGGGGTCCGATAAGTCTACTAGAAGCTGATGCCCAAAAGAAATCTTATCATCAGGAGTACTAGACACACTCAACACTCGACTCGAAGACGGGAGAAGCTACAATTTGACAGGACAGTAGTGAAGGGGTCAAGGGTCATGAAAAGAACACTCCGTGATGAAATATACCTCTGTGTAATAAAGGTGGAGAAGTTTACTTTGTCAAACTTTGGATACGAAGGTATGGAACCTCATATATAGCAGGAACAACTTCTTATCGGAACCCGGCTGAAGATCCTTTCGATCGCTGGCTTACAAGTTGAACTTACTGCTTAAACTTGTCAGGTCACCAATTTCAAACGAGAGTTTCATCTAAAAGGCATAAGCCCTCCACTTTGGAAACCCGACAATCAACTATGTTAAAGGCACAGTTCACGATAATTTTGAGGTACCTGTTTTTATTCGAAAAGCGGAAGTACAGATTGGGAATAGTTCATCGGTAGTGGAGAAAGCGAGAGAATTGACCGATTTCGAGAACAATATGGCGTCTCAAAAGTAGGGAAGATAGAGGTTGGACGAGATTGCCATGACGTAAGTAACATGGAAGGGGTAATTCGGACGAGATTCCAGTCATCGCAATTTCATAAAGAGCTGACTACATCAAGCCAGAGCTTTGCAAAGCTGTCTTTCACTGTCACATTGGGTCATGTCAAATCGTCCGAACTCCCTGCATGGGTTCCCTTTTGATCGGGGCAGCTTCTACAGTGCCGGTGAAACTCGTTCGAGGATGGACACGGGCCAATCATTGATCTCTTTCTCCGTTTTCCGACCTAATAGTGTAAGATATGGTGTACGCGGGGGTCTCAAATTCATCGTGTGTGGAAACCTCAGAAACCATTTTCATCGTGGACTATGCCTTTAAACCAGTTGGGCTATGCACGCCAACGCGTGCGTTATATGCCCACGACAGCTCATCTTCGATGGGGTCATTCAGTGTAGTGTCGGGTCATCAGAATAAGACAGTTCTCTCTAGATTTGGAAGCTGAACAGATTCGAGGGCATCTCGCTCAATATGTCTCTATTGGCAGGATTATCAGTGGTTGAACTTTGCAAAGTCCACCTCAGATCAGGCCCCACTATGAAAATTTGACCAACCGTCGTTAAGCTGCCCCTAACCATAGAAGGTTTTAATCATAGTTCTCGATCTCAGCCCCGCCCATCCCTGCGCGAACTCGAGTCTAGCCAGGTATTTGACCAAAATTCTTCCCTTACTTCCCTACTTTTTTCCCACGTTCTAGATTATTTTCGAAAAGAGTGATGAAGTTTTGATCTCAGTCCCACCCATCTTGGTGCACGCTTCGCCCACTCCAGGATTTCGAATAGTAGCTTCCACTTCAACGCACGCTCCGCCTATGGTGGAGGGAACTTCGCTAAGTTTACGCATGTCAAGCACGCATAAGGCCTTGCTCATCCCTTTCTTGGCAAATCTTTCACCTTTGGCCATTTTTTTTGCGGCATCTGTTATGGGGTGAATGGAAAGGCATTGTCCAAGACACCTCACTTCCGTGCCTGCCTCCATCCCTCCCCTTCCCCCTTAGGGCCGAAGCTCCGCTGAGCTCACATGGTTCTGTTGGTCTTGCCCTATGCCCAACCCATTGCAAACTTGACCCTACCCCTGCAGGTGCTTCTTCAGGTGATTTCGAATTTCCCACAAACAGACAAACCGACAAGGTCAAAATTGAAATGCTGTGGCATGGTTGTCAAAACCATAATCAGCGGTATAAATCATATTTAACCGGTTGGGCTATGCACGTTAACGCGTGCTTTACGTCCACCGCTCACCTATGGTGGGGTCATTCAATGGAATGGTGGATTATCAGAACGAGATAGCTTTCTTCAGATTTGAACGCTGAACCTTTGAGGCTTCTCGCTTTGAGGGTCTCTTCTCGATACATTTTATTTGAGCAGAATTATTACCAATCATGGACAGATGGAATTTCATTCACTAACAATCCCGAATGATAAATTTTTCTGTTTTCCTGTGAAAAACATTCTAGAATTACTACATTTACAGTGAGTCGTTTCACGCTCACGGTAGCTCACCTATTCTAATGAAAATTAATATAGGGAAGTAATTCGGAATACACATAACGTAACTTTTCGGACACTACAGTCTTTCGGTTATCCATGTAAATTCAAAAACACTATATATACCTGTACTAATTTTGGTGTTCAAGGAATTACTTCATATTTTCACCATTGACCCTCGAATGCCTTATTCTGACCGGGAGAAGGATATAGCGCTGTGGTGGGGGTAAGACGATTTCCTCGTGCGAAAAACTAGGATGGGGTATGATTTGAATATTCTATTGACTCACCCACCACGTTGCTCTTTTCCTCCTAAAGCTTAGGTTGAAAAATGTATCTTAGGCTAAGGAACGTTCCTGTGCACAACTAACCTCCTTATATACCTTTCTCTCTCTAGTGCTCAATCTTGAAAAAAAATTGGAGGTCTCCCAACTACATTATCACCTTCATTTTTGTATAGACATACATAGCACGATGCCAGTACAGATCGAAATCACAGTTTTGGAGCACCCACTTACTCAACATAACTCACTTTTTTCCGCAGTACTTACACTACTCCATTGACCTACCCACCAAGTTACTGCTTTATATATAAGAAGGAAATGTAGAATGGAGCTGGGTATATCACTATTGCGGACCGACAGACAGACACACCGACAAACCGACAAACCTACAAACTGGCACACCAAGTTTCTGCTTCATAATGAGAGATTATTATTATATTATTATATTATTATTGTTATTTTGAATACCATATTATTTTTCATCATTGACCTTTAAATGCCTTATTGTGATGTGCACATACGCGAAGTCGTCAGTGGATGCAAGTCACAACCTGCAGATTTCAAAAGTACGTTCAATGTTGAAAAATTTCTATCGGATATTGTTGCATGACTCCATTCAAATGTTCTATAAAAAGCCATAGCTAACCAGACCGGCCTAAGCGAAAAAGGCCTTGTTCTACTTCGTGCCTTGCAGCCGCGCAGTGTATGGATAGCTATTGATGCTCCGGTTACTGGTCACCCGTCACTGGTACCTCCATAGCAGTTCTGTACATGATTTGTAAAACTGCACATATGAAGGCTCCAGGTGACCGCCTTTGCTTGGATTGATTTTTCATTTCTTTTTCGAATCTCCTTTTTTGTTTTTTTTCACATTGTATGTATGTTAGGGATGTTGAGCACTTAATGC